GGTACAGTGCCATTCCGATTTACATAGGTTTTTCTGTATTTATCATAGAAAGAGGGGGAAAGTTTTTACATTAGTGAAAAAGGCTCGGCTTCCTCACTTACAAAAGTAGTCCTATTTACTAGTTCGGGATCCTATTATCGTACATTACACGGTGGTAATACCACTCGTGTGGTCGTTAGTGAAGCAGAAAAGTATATTGACAGGATCTTAAATACACTACTTTAAAAATTCTTTTTAAAAGATACATTATCAGATGTTACGTCCTATTAATGCTTTAGTTAGCGTTACATATATTAATGTCTTAATTAACAATATTACATTATTTAGACTTACAATATCTAAATTATTACAGAAGAATAAGAAGCATTTCTATAATTATATAAGGTAAAATCTTTACAAACAAATAGATAGATGTAGGAATATTTAAATAGAATATAATTATTATTGATAGCACAAAAAAAATGAAAAATCAGTACCTTATGTTAAAAAAAATATTAAAAAATGTATTACTCAGAAGTAATTAGGATATTTAATTAATTTCCTAATTACTTCTGAGTAATACATTTTTTTATTAAAATAAAATCATGTCGCTAATATAGGACTATACTTAATCGAAAATTGGACGCCGCTTATTGTGATCATTTTTGGGATGCATGATAATATTAACCAATGAAATGAAATTCGGCAATTACAATAACTTTTATCTTTACAGAATTAAATAAAACTTATGTATAAACTTTATGATCGATCATAGCAAATTTAATTGAAAACATTTAAAAAGAACGTTGTTTATTACTTTTTCGAAACAATTCAATTTAAACATAAAATTTACGTAGTACTTTTATCTCATCATATAGCCTATATATAATCGAGACGGGTTGATAATAATAATAATAATAAGCGCAGAGCCCAAACGGTTAGGAGTTGAAAGTTGAAATTTGGTAAGTCACGAGAACGCACACTAAGAGGAATTTTTCGAAATTCCCCCCGCGGGGGAGAGAGACAGGATTAAGTCTTCAACAATGGACGTGTTAAGTAACAATGGTAGTGTTAACAATGAAAGTGTCAATAATGGAAGTGTTAAGAGAAAGCAACGTGCAAGATTTACAGGCTCAGATGCGGTTTTTTGCGTTTTTGCGAGATATCGAACTAATTAGAGAATTTTTAGACCCATCTAAAAATTCTCTAATTAGCCAATCTTACCCGTTTTCACAGAATGCAAGAATTAGGTCCATCTGTTTCCAAACTAATTAGAGAGAATTTTTAGACCCATCTAAAAATTCTCTAATTAGTTTGTAAACAGGTGGACCTAATTCTTGCATTCTGTGAAAACGGGTAAGATTGGCTATAATGTAATCATCTTAATCTTCGCTATCGTTACTTTTTGTCCGAGCAATGCCGGGCTTATCTGCTAGTTTATATTATACTCGTATATCCGTTTCAAAAATTATAAAACCTTTCATTATTTTTTTTTTGATTTTTCACTTTATATATCAGAATTTTCAGCTTCTTAATTATCCGATTCCGAATAAGTCTGATAAACGCCTGACATGCATGAAAAATCACATAATATATGATTATCAACGGTTTATTATCTGTGTAATGATATTCCCGACATTTTCTCTTCCTTATATTTGAAAGTGTCAAATGTCAAACTTGATAAATCAAGCGAGTGATAAAGTGATAACAAAGATCAAATTTCTAATTATTAGAGATCTAATAATTTCGATAGCATTATAAGAATGGTGACGATATCTGTGAACATAATTAAGCATTATTCATTATATTTCATAAGATGTCCAGCTTGCATTTTAATTTTGTACAAGATAATACATGCTGTACTTTTTACAGGATAATTATTGAACTTTGCAGCATTATATTTATTTGGAAAAGCGAAAAAATAAAGAATTATTTTAATATATTTAAAAAAAATGCTTTTATTACTCATGTTGTTCATGATTAGTGTTGGGGATGACGGAGTGACCCCAAGTCCCCCATATACATCACTAGTGCATTTACATACACATACATCATTACACACACACACATCATTATTATTCTATATTTGGTTATATTTATCGGGTATCGGGGTGAGGAGAGTGATGGAGTGAGGCCACCCCCTAAAATGGGACTTAGGCATGACCTCAAAGTTTCAGCCTTCTATCTTAATTAGAAATGGACGAATTTGAGTTGCAAGATTTGGGAACGATACAAAGCAAGTTAAATAAAAGCGTTAAAAAAATAATTAGAATCGACGAGGTATACTTAAGTTCCACGAAAAATTGAATCAGATATCCACTTTAAATTTTCTGTTATTTTATTCGTCATTCTCTTTTTAACAATTGATAAAATAAGTTGTTAATAGCCAAATATAGACAGTTAAATTAACAGACAGCTCATATCAGCATGCGAATAAGAACCGGTTCCATCTACAGATAATGTCTCCAGTAACCGACACGAAGTAAGATTATTTATTTATTTTTTATGAAACTAGGTAATCTTGCAGATTAACATTCATCGATAAATATTTTGCGTTAATTAAATTCGAAATTTTCTGTTGTTTTTTACGTGTTTAAAAATTTCAATATGTTTTAAACCGATTAGAATAGGAATTATTAATATAATAGGATTGTTTTAATTATATAAATGATGTGTAACATTCGTTTTCTTTAAAATTTTCTATGCTGACAACGTTGTTGCTGGACTTTTTCGGCATTCTTTATTTGTTTTCATCCCTAATCATTGCTACCATTACCTTTAAGTCTTCAGATTGGTTCGGGAGATATTAAGCGAATGGGGCTATATCTCCCGATTTTCCTGAAAATTTCTAGAATCGTTTCTTTCTAATACACAAACCTCCCTGCATAGTTTCAGAACTTTTCGACAAAAAGCCCAGGAGTTATTAGGCTTCAAAATGGGCGAAAAAAGTCGTGCCCCCCACACACACATTAACGTCCATACATACAGGGGGAAAAAACTCAAATTTTTTTGCACTTCTCGACGTTTCAAGGTTCCCCGAGTCCAAAAATATAAAAAATATTGTGGGGTCATTGTTAACCAATCTCCTTATTTCCTTCTGTTATATAACTTGCGGAAAAGTAAAAAATAAAAATGATTTCTGATTAAACTTAATTCATATACTCCTAATACAGATAATAATTATTAATTTTATTTAATATACCAAGATTTCTAATATATAATTTTTTTTAAAAAAAGAACTACCAAAAGTGACTTCTCGAACGCTTTTTAAAAGTTAAAGAAGAGGAAAAATTACGTTTAAAGTAAAATTATTTTTAAAAATAATTTATTTTATTATAATATAATTCATAAATAATTTAGTTAACAAAAAAATAAATAAATAAGTATGAATTTTCCAAATACTTTTCACATTTTCTCACAAGTTTTGTTAACTTATTACAAGTTATAAAAAAAAAAAAAACTGAAAAATGCAAAGAGCATTTAAACCATTTAGATTTATCAGTTTTACTATTTGCTTAGTAATTAAAATAATATAAGTATCTATTTTATTTTGTACAAGATAACTCACAATAAATTCCATTAGAGTTTTAACGACGGCTATAAAACATATTTCGACTCATTTTCTGATAAATTTGTAAAATGGAGAGTTAATGAGACCGGAATAATTTTTATGAAGTTATAATCGCGCTTGTTTTTATCTTGCTTTTGGCATCTTATGCAAGTTGCAATTTGTTTAGGGTAATAAAAAAGCCGTAGGGTCAAGTGCTGCAAAAATGGTACGATGGAAGAACGACCTCGAGGGAAAAAAAGAAAAGCGAGGAAGTAATCCGTTCTTGCACACAACACGGGTTTATGACACCAGAGGGCGTCTCTTATGACTGTTCTTTCCTATAGAATGACATTAAGACCTTCTTCGTTTACAACGAAAGGGAAAACGATGTGCGCTTGGTAGCAACCTGAAAAACTTTATGATGGTAAAACCATTCTATTAAGTAGCAGGTATCAGATACAGAGCTGTTAAACCCATCAGGGCAATGTCCTCTCTTGTGATCTTCTTTTCATTGGCTATGTGTTTTATTACCTTCGGAATTACTATCCTCAATACTTTATTTACTGAATATATTTCGTAATTCTAAGATTAAAATTATAGATTTCTAGTTGGTATAATAATTGCTAAGCTAATAATGGATAAATTTACGAATGATCACAATGAAGATTGCTTGTTGACTAGTAAAAAAACGATTTGTAATTAGTATTGTACTGTACTGTACGTGACAATTGAATTTTATAAATTTTTAGAGTGTTGAAATTTGGAGTGTTTTATAATGAAATTAACGTCACGAGATCTCTTTTTATTACACGTGAGCGGACAGATTTACGTCTAATCTACCGGAATTAGTCAGACATTTATTAAATTTGTTTTTACACTTAATAAAGGAAAATTTTCACCTGCTTCCAGTAATTCACGAACGGGTGTGGTTTAGTTTGGGCCTACATTATTATCTAATTCGTGACACATCTGTTGTGATGCTATAAGCACAGATTTTTGAGATGTTGTCAGTCAAGTATGAAGTTACACCCTTTTGATACCAAATATAATCAACAGGTGTAACCAAAATAAAGTTTTTTTCCCAAGATAAGCCGAAGATAAGTAAAAAAAAAAATATTATATGCAGAAATTTATTGCAGAATAATTTCCTCGTAGAAAATTCTACATAGATTAAAGTGTTGTTTCAATGTATTAAATTCGTACAATTTTTATTGCTTAGAATATACAAAAGTTGCTGCTGCGTATCATTTTACACCATAATTTTAGCTCTTATAACTCAGCTTGTAGGAAAAAACCGAATGAATTCAGATTGTCTCGGTAAACTTTTTCAATTTATAAAAAAAAAAGCAATTAAAGTTTTCAAACATTTGCAATTCGTATTATATACAAATGAAGTTAAATAAAGCTAACAGATAAATTTTAAATAAAGTTGTTTATCCAAGTTTGTTTAAGTAACAATGAAAGAACTCACCACAAACTCTCCTTTGATTAAAGAACCAGCCTGTCCTACATAAACAGTCGAAGCCGTGTCAAACAGGAGATCTTTAGGGATTCGGTTTACCACAGTAGAGCTGTATTCTTCACAGTTGTAGTACAAAGTAACATTATTTCCTTCGATTCTTAAAGCTAAACTGTTAACAAACGACTATTAAAAGACTCTCTGATTCACCTAATTAAAATAAAGTTAGAAAAGCTTACCGTGTCCAAGTATCGATGCTTTTGGGTATTAAAAAGCTGACTAGAATTTGAGAAGACAGGTGCATAGCTACGTCCGTATAATACAATGTAATATTCTGAAATTTGCCAATCGTCGATACTTTTAAACCTAACTGAATTACAGTCTCCGAAGGATTTACAACTAAAAAATAAATAAATAAATCTTTGTAATATATTGAAAATAATAATAATAAAAAAGCTAAACATAGTATAAAAATTTTTTCTTGTTTAAAAATTTAATGTTTACTTATGAAACAATGTCTTAAAAAATAAGAAGTGAAAGGTTTAATGCTGTTTTCTAAATAAAACGAGTTTAAATTTAAAAAAAATACTTATAAGAAAAAATGCTTTTAATGCTATTATCATAATGCGTGTATTAATCTTTTAATCTAAAAATATGAAATTTTTTATTCTTAAAACATTAATTTTATAGTACTGTATATAAAAAGTTTTAAAGCCTATAAAATAACACCTCTTAAGATTTTAAGAAATGTAATCTCAATCACAACTGTAAACAAGAGATCTAAATATAGATTTATCCGCAAACCATTCGCTTAAAAACTACCCTATTGATGATTTTTTTTCCTTTTGCTTTTTATTAAACTATTAATTTCTAATATAGTTTTAAATGTATAGATTAGCTGATTTAATAATCCTGAACACTTAAAACATTTTTTATTATTCACGTTTATTTTTCGCATTGTTCGAATTTCTTCAGAAATATATTTATGTAACCATAAAGAATTTAAGTGCACATTTGTCTGAGTAGTAATACTTATTATAATATTTAACAAAAAAAGTAAATCTCTCGTAGTACAGGTTTTATTAAAGATGAAACTGGTTAAACTCGCTCGAACACACATTTAAGACATTTCAGCTTTTTATACTCTCCCCGACTCCATTAAAATATTCATTTCGTTAGATTTATTTCGCTCACGAACATGACTGTTAAAGTAATCATTGCATGGTTCCACTCTGAAAATCTCCAACGACTGTAGATAACTTTAACGATTTCTTTGTCTGAATGAAGGTTTCAGATCGCCTGATATTTGTCTGGTGTCTAAAATAAACAATTGGTAGAGAATCAGCCAATCAGACCTAGTCTATTCACGCGTGCACGCAATCAGTTTGACGTTAGGGGTCCAATAGAGAGATTTAAAGAAAACGTCCTGAAAGCATCGACTATCGACTAGAATTTTAACTCGGGCTTTTTCTGGAAATTTGTCGTATGTGACATTCGGAATACCAATGCGATGTTATGGCTAGTCGAATGAATTTAAGTTTAAAGTCGCACGAATCTACCTTAAATTAATGAATAATTATAAACAAAATAAAATCTTACCTGTAAACATAAATCCCTCGTTTCCTTCCTCTATTTTATAAGTTGCCAGGATAGCGAAATTTCTAAATAATGTCGCAGGAAATAATAATCTGTATGGGGTTTTTATATCGGAACCACCTTTCAGTTGAAACGCCGGAAACCCATCTTTCCCTGTTACAAAATCGACCGAAGAGGAAGTGAAAGGTATGATAATTGCCATCAGAAGATCGACTTCTGAATTATCTGGTCTTCCTATAAATAAAAACGAAAGCTCCGTTAATAATTTCTATCGTATTATTTCGGTTTTAAAGTATAAATCCTGCATTTTTTATTCTTCTACATTTAGAGGTCTTTCATTTATTCGTCAACAAAATCAGACATTTATTGTGAATATTTAAGTTTAAATTTATTTGTTAAAACAAAAACAAGACATGGAGAAATTCAATTATGTAATTACGAGTAATTGTCTCATTTCAAATAGATTTTTAAATAAGATTTAGATAGAAATTGTGTGGATTCTTGATAAAAATCATGGTATAAAAATATTAATGAAGTAATTGTTACGGACTAAATTCTTGAATCGTAAATTATCCAAGGAAATGGATGATAAAAATATTTGTCATCAACTACCCACTTTCATAAACGAGGAGATAATCGGTTTACCAACAACAAATAAACCGATTATCTTATAAGTGGGTCGTGTTTAAAATTAATTAGTGGTGTCCTTAATTCCTTATCAGATTTAGATTACTTATACTAAAAACAAATGAGTAATTGGTTAATATTTCTTTAAATTAGCTTATTCTGTGAGAAAAATTCTTGAGAGAGGAATAAATCCCATCTAGAAGTATTATTAGACACTAAAAATAAAAAATAAAAATATTAGCTTGATTAAATTAAAATATTCCAAAATATTCAATTATTTCTTATTACTACATCTTTTTTTTAATTGATAATACAAAATTCCCAAAATGGGCGCTAACCCCTTGGTGGTGGTAGAAGACTCAAGGGGCACTGGAAGAGAAGGGGTAGGGGTGTTGAAAGATATGGGAGATTTTTGTCTCCCATATTAAACAAAAAAATATAAATGTGTACTAAAAGGGGTGGTAGTCCGAAAAGTTTGTTGTAAGAATCAATAAGTTCATCGTATCATTCATAAAAACATTTTAAAAATACACTTATATGCACTGTGGGCAATTAAGTAAAACCTGTGTAAACCGGAATCGCACGGTGCTGAATATTTTTTCCGGTTTGAAGGGTTTCCGTTTCGAACAGGTTTTGTTTCTAAAGGCTGCTATACACCATTGGTTAATCCTTTGAGACTGCCTGTCCTCGAGGAACTTCCGAATTTCCTATCGCCCAAAAACGAAGAAAACCTCTCAGCAGAGGGTGGGGCAGCTTGCCCCGGGCGCCACTGGCAGAGGGGAGCCTAATGGTTTCCAAGAATAACAAAATTTGTTTCTGGAGGGGGAGGGGCGCCAATATAGTGTCGCGGCCCGGGTGCAGTTACGTTCGCTACGTCATTGTGTTTATTATTACGCCACTGATGTTTATTGGCAACAAATTCTATTAAAACTCGCGGGAAAAAGTATGCATAGAAGTCTATGGTGTAAATAGNATTAATTATACTATTGGGATTTTTACAAGTAGATTATAGAATACAATATTGAATCAATACAAAAAGACAGACAAATCATCCCATGATCGAAGGTTTAAGGTTACATATCTCGATCACTTTTACGAATATAATTTGTGAAAGTTTTTACTCAACTTCAGGGGGCAAATACCTCGTTTTCTCCCTTTGCGGATGGCTCATGATCTATATTGTATCTTAAAAGTTGAATCTCATTCATAGTAAATGTAATATTTATCAAGATACTTATACCTTTTTGTTTTCATTGACATTAACGTAGGTTATATAATACGCATACTTAATAAATTCCTGTAAATTGATATGGCGACAAAATTAATTTCGAGATTATATAACAAAAGATGTTGGAGAATAAAAAGTACTTGGACTAATATACAAATTTAATATTATGCTTTCGAAAGTGTCATGGAATATTTTTAAAAAATGACTAAAAAGCATCTCATATTGCACCGTTTATTTTGTTAGCACGGATAAAGCGCTAAAAACTAAAACGATTGAGAAGATACCAAGAAAGAATGGCGATAATCTTATCCCCCCATAAAGAATTTCTACTATAAATTCAACAGAATAGCTGAAGTGGGTTAAACTTATCTTACATCAAATGACCCCGGATCTTTTCAAAATGAAAATTATTGGATAGTTTTTGAATTTTGCTATTTATTTGTAGCTTCTGTTCCAATAATCACATGATTAAATTACTAGAAATTAGTTCTTTAATACGAAGAAAAATAGAGAAATTGATTGTTATTTCATCAAATAATTTATTATAATTATTTTAATGATCTAGTTAAGTCTCACAAGATATTTGTACTATTTATAAAATGACTCAAAATCAGGCATGCATGGTTACTCCTTTGAGGATTAACCAATGGTGTATAGCAGCCTTAACATAGAAAATCGCTCCGTTCCGAAGAATTTTTCCCATTTAGGCAGGTTTCCGTTTTAGACAGGTTTTACTGTATATACTTAAATGGCTTATTATACCCCTGAAACCTTGAGAAAAAACACTAAACTCACGCTTAGATGTCTGGTTGGAAAGCACACCACGTCCCCAAATTTTGACAAATCAATCTTGATGTAATCCAACCGAAGAGGATAGCATTGGTGAGAAAAAAAACGGATCTACTCTAATTACTTATTAAATGGCTGGACAATAATAATCTTCAGATTATTCACAGGCTCTTACTTTCATATTCCCGGATACTTAATTTGCATACTAAATATTACTGTTTTATTTCCCTGGTATAATTATTGTTATTTCATATTAGTCCATAAGAAATTTTAATTGCACATAAGCATTTAATTTAAATCGATCACTTATGTTATGAATTAAATAATTTGTTTCATGACTTTAAAATGAATTATTAACAGCTAAAACGATTATCAATTAATAAATGTTGACGCGCAGGAAATTTGTATAAAATGCCGCGGGTATTTTTATTCAGATTTCCTGCAAGACCGTATCCCTTAACGGACAAGATAGAGGTCAAAGGTTAGATTCGATATGAATTCTGATTACAGAATCATGATCTCTAATTTTATGGAAAAAAAACAGAATAAAATTTAACCTATAAATTAAAAAAAGGAAGATGTGATTCACCTAACAGAAATTATGCAAAAATATCTAATTTTAATTAATCAATTATTTTTTTATGCCGCATAATGTATAGACTACACATGAGTGTCCGCGGAGGGAGGCAAAAGGGGCACTTACCCTCCGAGATAGGGTGAAAAATTCCACAAATTAAAATCGTAAAAGTGATGGAGATACGTAACCTTATACCTCGACATTGAGATGCTTTGTCTGTCTTTCTGTATTAATTTAATGATGCATACTGTAATCTACTCGTAAAAAAATCCTCAAAAATTAAGTAATTAAATAAAAATTTACTGATATAATTTACTCTACAAGCTTTTCCCCCCTTGAACTTTTTTGCGGACGTCAATGAGCCTATACAATACAAATTAATATACGTTAATATAATACATTCATTATATTGTAAGTATAAATAGCACACAGCATAAATAAATACGATAAATGAATTATATTTTACAGTATAAATAGAGCGCAACAATACGGTTTATTAAAACTATACTGTAAAAACATCGTTATACAGTATACATATTAAGGAAATTCAATTCCAACTGGAGTAAAAGAGGGAATATGAAACGTGACATCATTTCCTTTTTTTATAATTATTTAAATTAAATTAAAAGAATTAAAATTGACAAAAAAAATTAATTTAAATAATGGTAAAAATTGTAGCAATTATGAGCATTGTAAAAGCGTATTATAATATTAAATCTATCTTCTTAAAAATTATTTTAAAATGGAATTTTTAAATTATCAACGCTATAAATATGATGGCATTTTCGCATAATTAGGAATTTTTCACTTTCATAAACTGTCAGTTTGACTGTCAATCTAAAAGAAAAAAAAAATTAAAAATTAACTTTTAATGTTTATCTTATTCAACAATACCTTTAAAAAAATATTCTTCAGTTTATTTTGTCTACGCTTAAGTTATTCTCTGCACGTTAAAAGTTAAATTTAAACGGGATTTATACAAGGAAGAAATGTCGTTTCTTTCTTGTATAAAACCATTTCTTTACTAAATTTTCCTCGAAAGTTTTAAGACAATAAAATTAAAATTTGAGATATGTTTATGAGAAAAGATTGTTTAACTTATTTTTAATTATACATCTATAGGCATCCACAGAAAATTTTCCAAGGAACTACGCTTGCAGACAAATAATTAAATATATAAATAAATATTTATTGATGTCATTTTTTGGGGGGATTTTTACAAGTAGATTATAGAATACAATATTGAATCAATACAAAAAGACAGACAAATCATCCCATGATCGAAGGTTTAAGGTTACATATCTCGATCACTTTTACGAATATAATTTGTGAAAGTTTTTACTCAACTTCAGGGGGCAAATACCTCGTTTTCTCCCTTTGCGGATGGCTCATGATCTATACTGTATCTTAAAAGTTGAATCTCATTCATAGTAAATGTAATATTTATCAAGATACTTATACCTTTTTGTTTTCATTGACATTAACGTAGGTTATATAATACGCATACTTAATAAATTCCTGTAAATTGATATGGCGACAAAATTAATTTCGAGATTATATAACAAAAGATGTTGGAGAATAAAAAGTACTTGGACTAATATACAAATTTAATATTATGCTTTCGAAAGTGTCATGGAATATTTTTAAAAAATGACTAAAAAGCATCTCATATTGCACCGTTTATTTTGTTAGCACGGATAAAGCGCTAAAAACTAAAACGATTGAGAAGATACCAAGAAAGAATGGCGATAATCTTATCCCCCCATAAAGAATTTCTACTATAAATTCAACAGAATAGCTGAAGTGGGTTAAACTTATCTTACATCAAATGACCCCGGATCTTTTCAAAATGAAAATTATTGGATAGTTTTTGAATTTTGCTATTTATTTGTAGCTTCTGTTCCAATAATCACATGATTAAATTACTAGAAATTAGTTCTTTAATACGAAGAAAAATAGAGAAATTGATTGTTATTTCATCAAATAATTTATTATAATTATTTTAATGATCTA